ACTTCCAGGGGTTTCCACCCCTTGGGGTCTACCACTTTTCTTAGCCTCTGGGGGAAAACAAAGTCCAAACCACTACACTTGTTTATACTGTCAGTGAATTTCTGTCTAGAGCACATCTTGCTGAATGCTTTCTTACCTCGTACAGTGCCAGTGTATAAGGCTTCAAGGGGCTGATACTGAAAGCCAGGCCTGGCCCCTGTAAATACTTGAAATGTGTTCTCTGTTCTCTACTGCCTCTTTTTGAGCTATTCAGGTCTTAGAACCATCTAGAACCTTCCTGGGCAATTTTTGCTCGTAAGTCCTGCTGCAAAAAACAACACACCTGTGGCTTGTAATACAATGTGGAGGCTTATGAAAATAACACTTAAACATGTCTAGTGTCTATTAATAATACTACAACATTAACTTTCTCTGAGGCTCAGCTTCTCTGCACAGAATACAAAAGAAATACCTGGTATCAGAGTGATGAATTCTTGCTGGGCCCTGCAGATCAGGGAGCAGGGAGAGCCAGGAGATGCTTTGCATCATGCCAAGTTGGATACACGCTGTGTAGTGCAGCGTAGGATAATGTCAGAACACAGAAACAGCTGGCAGTCTTCAGCCATGAAGGATACTAGATTGTGTTAACATTTCCTTTGAGTTTGCACCTGAAGTCTTAAGTATTATGCAAATAAAGGGCAACATTGTGTGCTCGTGTCTACCCCTCTGATTGTATGTTGCCAGATCATAGACCTGGATGGGATTTTTAATCTTGATCTAAAATTAGACCTTGGTTTTGGCTGAGATAGAGTTAATTTTGGCTGAGATAGAGTTAATTTTCTTCCTAGTAACTGGTACAGCTCTGTGTTTTGCATTCAATATGAGAATAATGTTGGGAACATGCTGATGTTTCAGTTGTTGCTGAGCAGGACTTACACTGAGTCAAGGACTTTTCAGCTTCTCATGCTCTGCCAGGGAGGAGGCTGGGGGTGTACAAGGAGCTGGGAGGGGACACAGCAGGGAGAGTGGAGCCCAGATGGCCTAAGAAATATTCCAGAGCACATGGCACCATGCTGAGCATATAAACCATGGGGAAATCTGGCTGGGAGCTGCTCCTCAGGAGCTGGCTGAACATCGGTTGCTTGGTGGTGACCAATTCTTTTTCATTTGCATTATGTGGATTTTTTGGGGGTTATTTCTCTCTCCTATTTTTATTTTCTTTTTCTTTATTTATTATTATTGTTGCTGTTGTTGTTATTTAAAATTTATTTCAATTGTTTAACTGTTCTTACTTTAACCCATGAGTTTTGTCACTTTTACCCTTCCATTCTGTCCCCTGTCCCACCAGAGCAGGGAGTGAGTGGCTGGGGCTGATTAGTTGTCAGCTGGGGGCTAAACCATGACACCTGGCTAGGACTTTTAATCTTGATCTAACACTGAGATCAAATTTTAATGTACTAGAATATGACTACATTAAATCTCAAGAGTATTTTTGCTGTAAAATAGCATCAGTTTCTTTAAATTGTATTTTTTAAGATTCAATTAATTTTATGACAAAGTAAGAAGCAAGATGAAGTAGGAGACCAACAGAGGGAGGAAGAGTGAGAAATGGGTCTAGTTTGTCCATAAGTGTTGTATTATCAAAGCAGACAGAAAAAAGCCCGAGGAAGAACTGTTTCCAGTTTTCATTTAAGCTCCACTTTCCTGTTGTGTCCCTACAGGGATCAACTATAAACACTAGATTTGAAAAATGAAAATGTACCACTTTTTTGTTATAATCCAATAATAAGCCCCTTTCTGCTAATTTTTTAGTAAGCCATAAGCTTTATTATGTTAACCAAGCCCACAAACATTTTTTGCATAATCTACTGGATGGAAGATCACTTTCACAGAAACCTTCCATTACTCAAAATGTTCGTAAACAGCAGACTTTGACATTTATTACCAACAGCTGCTGGTTATTCTGCAAAGCAATGCCACTCATTATGGCCTTAAATGCTACCTAAGGTCTGTCTGGTTTTAGGTCTTCTAACTATGCTTTATGCAGCACCTTGCTATAACTTATTACTGAACATGATTCCACCAAAACATTCTGCAAAAAGCAGGTTGCAAGTTGTTATTTCAGATACAGGAGTTGCTAAAAATGATTACTCCTTATTTCCAAGGGCTGTCTAATAGTGCTTTAAATTAAGCTTCTTTAATGCATATTTAACTTAGAACTAAGTAAGCCTAGTCTGAGGTGTTGTTCATTTACAAACTAGCTGCTAAAATCATGAGGATTACCAAATGTGCTTAGTTGTTGATCTGCTCTGCATCTTTACAGTGTCGTACTCTCACCCCATACTGACTAACTGCAATTTAATTACATAGTTCTTAGTAGCCAGAACAAGTAACTGGGGTGAATATTAAATAGTTATATTATTTTTCCCATAACATGTGTTACCTGTTGTTACAAATGAACTTCAGTATAATTCTGTAATGAAGGCTTATTAATGGAGAGAAGTTTATTTGTCGTTTGAACTTCCTTCTGTTTGAGGGATTTAACCTTAAGTGCAAGACTGTATAAATATATAGCCACTATTTCCTCTCAGCTTGCAAGTCAAGAAATTGGAGGGGAAAATGTCTGCAAAAGAGGACAAACAAAGATGTGGAGTCACCACAGGCCGCCTATTGCATTATTCATTCAATTATTCACTTGTGCATTACCCACAGACCTGCCAAAAGTCTTGGGAAGTGTACCAGCTCTACTCATCACTGGTAATCAGCTGCTCTTCCTCATCCCCCCAGATGTTTTACAATCAGTCCCATTCTCTTGCTTTGTGTCAGAAATGCTCCGTGGCCATTTAACCCTCCCGTGTGTTCCCACATGGCAACCTGTGTGCCAGGAATGATGCCCTTCACTGTTGGCTTGGGCACTGATAGTCTTCAGGACTTATTTACTTCATCTTGGTACATCAAATATCCCTCCTCTCATCAGTCTTTCTCATAATCCATCTCAGGTTTGTCATCTGTAAAAGATGCTTCACATAGCAATGATGGATAAGTGGTTCTCTAAATATTCTCAAAGAGAAAAGCCATGTGCTATACTACACCTTGGGCTATGTGTTGGGCTCATTTTAATTCTCAGGTAGTGCAGCTGTTGGGTTTTAGTGGATCTAATAATGATTTACATTATGGTAAATGAGAGGAGAATCAGCTGTTGAAACAATAGGACTTTACTTAATAAACAGACCTTACAGTAAAATATCTTGATCGCCACATACATATTAATTTTGTATTTTGACAAAAAAAAATACTTTATTACTGTAATGTTATCTGTCATCTGTGTACGGGAGGCCAATGTCAATTATGTTTGGGAACTGGTAGCAAGACTTATAATGGTATTTAGGCAATAAACTCCCTGGAAATCCATCCCTGGATGCAGCATATGAGAAGAGAAATGCAATTTAATTAAAGATGCTCTCTTCTTTTCCAAATACATTTAGAGAATAGTTTATCTGCCTCTTGTTTCTAATCTTTTCAGTTTTCACTTCTGAGACTACATTTTAGCTTATTTGGCAGAGAGGATGTTCCTGAGGAGCCTTCCTGCACACAGCACGTGTCCTGCTCCCTCCCCTCTGCACCCCCTCAGCAGGTTCTCTCTTTTCAGGCCGACTCAACTGGTGGTCCACAGTGTGCACGAGCTGCAAACGCCTGCTGCCCCTGGCCACCACGGGGGATGGGAACTGCCTCCTGCACGCTGCCTCTCTGGGTAAGGGGGAGTCTGCACGTGAACCCTGCTGCCAAAAACGCTCACTGCTTCTCTCCATCCCCAGTGCAGGCTCAGAAACACGGGAGGTGCAAAGACCTGCGTTAAAAGTCTGGTTTGGAGCAATATATTCTTCAAATTCCACTGAAGTTTTGTTTCCCTCAAGCATGCCTAAAGCAGGGGAATAAAAGTTTTATTAGGTTATAAAAGAAGGATAACTGGAACAGTATTAAAAAACACCAGTGATTTGCATTTTCCTCATATTTTCCTGTTCCCAGCCTAACAGCTCTGGAACAGGCAAATTCCAGGTGCTTTTGCAGGATTGTCCTCATTGTGCACAAGGAATTGCAGTCATTCTCTTGATTTTGTTAAACAGTTCTTTTGCTGTCTTCAAGAATGCAATATCAAGCTATTATCTCTCTTAGTTCCTTGTAGAGTTTCAGCATTTGGGGTGAATTAAAGTAATTTCCAATTGATTAATTAATTGTTAATACAAGATCTTTGAAGCTTGTCTGCAAATCAGTAGAAACCTGTGAAGCTGAAAATCTTTGATATGCTTTCTCTATCCTAACCTATTATGAGGAAACTTATTTTTTGTTGCAGTTGCTAAAATCTTCCACCAGCAGAACTCTTAAGAGGTGACTTTTTAAAAGCACTGGGATTTTTAATATTTTGAAGAGACTCTTCTTGTTGAAAGAAGTAATAAGAAAAGAGGTTTTGCTGTTCCCAAGTATCCTTTTATCTTTGTTCACTTCATTTTTAATTAGGAGGAATTGTATGTTATTTACAGCAAATGTTTGGAGTGTTTGGACCTGAGAACAGCAGCTGACACTGAAATGTGGCTGTCCATGGGCCCACGTCTTTGGGAGAGCTCTGCTCTCTTTTGGTGTAGGGTTACTCTTCCCAACTACATAAAGATGTTTTATTATCCTAAAATGAGATTAAAAGCCTGTGGCTGGGCATATTTTTAGGCTTTCTATCATCTTGAATGCTCGTCTCTTCAGTCGGGTGTTGAAGCCAGAGGGATTTGCCCTCATGCTGTGTGAGAGTTGGAGGCCTTTGGGTGTTGGTGTCAGCTGTGATTCTCAGCAGTGCCTGCAGTGCTCATTAACATTCCTGTGCCTGCAAACCCTGCTGGCAACTGCAGCCAAAACCAACCTGTGCATTGAATATTCCATAGCTTGCAGCAAAGTTGAAGTTGCCTGCAAGCAAACCCTGAAACAACTCAAGTCCTTAGTCGTTCCTTAATCACAGTTTAAAATTTGTTAGAATCCCTCTTGTTGTTCATGAACACATTTATACTGAGTGGTTCTTTTGGTAACCTTAAAAATGGTGAGAGAATTATTTGCTGAGGAGAATGTTAAATCATATATCAGCTGTTTGTGTTTCACTGCAGCTTGTTTCAAACTGAATGTCCTCTTGTGCTGCTTCAGGGATGTGGGGATTCCACGACCGGGACCTGGTGTTGCGGAAAGCTCTCTACACCATGATGAGAAGTGGAGCTGAGAGGGAAGCACTGAAAAGGAGATGGAGATGGCAACAGACCCAGCAGAATAAGGAGGTCTGTATGGCCTGAAGACAGTCTTATTAATACCATTTAGGGTTAAAAGCATTCTTCTGAAGTTTGGTGTGAAAGTTTCCATTGCTATCAAATTCCTTGGCCTTCCATATTGCACAGGGAAAGAGATACTTCTACTTAGAATTTTCATATCAGAATAAGAGAGAGTGTGTTTGTAGCTTTGTGGACATATCTATGCAGAGTTTTGTCCCTAAAAAGGTCTAAGTTCAGAACCTGTAGAAAATTTGGGGCTGCAAAACCAAATATATAATTTAGCTGTCACAAGTGTTATAAAATGAGGGCATGAAATCCACAAGAGAGAGAAACTCCCATTTGGGAGAGATTTCCCAGAATGGGGAATTGGGATTCTTGGAGCTGCAACCAAATATGGTTTGGATGTTTCTTAACTAAAATTATTTGGTAGATTTGGTTTGACTGTTGATTGAAAGCTGTACTTCAACATGTTATTTTCTGAAGATGGCTGTGCCTAAACAGTGTCTAGGAAAGCCCATTTCAGGAGTAATCCTGGATGCAAACAAGTGAATATGCTTCGATGTTTGTGGCATATTTGTAATCTGGTTTTTGTTGGCAGCAGTCAGTGAGGACACAGCTGAGCTGTGACTGACTCAGCTGTTACAGGCTACCTGAAAAAACAGGGGTACAGAAGCACTTTTATACCATTTTTGCTCTTGAACAGAAGGAGAAAGCATCACCTGTCTGCCCAGGAGAGCATTCATAGTAGTTCCAGATACTGGGAAGGAAGCAAACCTCCAGAAATGGGCAGTAAAGCACGTTAACCATGGTTACAAGGAATTCTGTGTGAATAAGTGGCTCTCAGGAGTGGAGCACTGTGTTAGCAGCAGAGACCCACATCTGGAAATATAATCCACTATGCAGTTAGTTGAGATAGTTTTTAATAAGTTAATATTCTTTCACCTAAATAGAAATGTTGAACTATTAATGGTCCCAGAAATTAAACCATGTCCTGTGTGAAACACAAATCAGTCAGTGCTAAAGGCTGCTGCAGAACTCTGCTTCCATTGTGTGCCAGCAGGATGTAAAGCCCTTCCCTCTCTCCCCCAGTCAGGGCTGGTGTACACAGAGGAGGAGTGGGAGCGGGAGTGGAACGAGCTGCTCAAACTGGCATCGAGTGAGCCCCGGACACACTTCAGCAAGAACGGAGGCACCGGTGGGGGGTAAGTGCAGAGCAGGGCAGGGTCTTGGAGGGTTTGTTCTCAGCAGGAAAACGATAGAGCACAACTGAATGAAGGTGTTTACAGCACCATCAAACGGCCTTTTGACTTGTGCTTTTTTTAGCCTGGTAGAATGTAATTATCTGAATATCCTATTATAATATTTAGCATTTTCATTATGTTTTCTTGTACAGTTACCACACTAACTTGAGGTCACTTTGTATCCAAGAGTCTGAATTTAATAAATCCTAATTTCTTTGTTTCTGGAACAAGCATGTTGTCAGTCTCATTTAGCTTCAAGGAGATGAAGTGCCTCATCTCACTGAAGAAGTGCAGCTTTCTGTTTGGGGAACGCTCAGCAGGAAGGTGGCCCCTGCTTGGGTATTTTTACTAGGACACAGAATGACAGAATAACATCACACCTTCTGATAGCATTCTGCAAGAAAATGGTTTGTACCTGGATATCACCTCTTGTGTATTTGATCACAGCCATCCTCTCATATTCATACATTTATTTCAGTGCTTTTTTGCCTTGCAGTTCAAACACAAAATCTTCAATTTGTTTCTACTTTAAAATGCTGTTAACCCTAAACATACGGGAGGAGAAAAAAGTCATATTTTTGGTATTAGAGCTAAAGATTAAATATTTGGATGCAGTCTCTTTTTAAAGAGAAGGCAGAATATTGAGTTTACAGTTTGTAGTCTCATGAAGCCATTCTGAAAAATCAATATGCTACTTCGGTCTTTGTACAGTTATTAAAAAGCTTAACTAAAAATTTGGTAATTAATGTTGCACCAGTAGGAACAGTTGCACTTTCTTTGACTATTCAAGCTCCTGTTAAACCCATGTAACATCCACAATGCCCTCAAATGCAGGAAGTATTTAAGGACTGTTTATTTAGCATCAAACTGATTCCCTGTCATCCCAGTACAGTTTGATGTTGCTGGAAGGTTCTGCAGAGGGTTTGTCTGTGTTTCTAAGAACCACATCTGATTCTTTTCTTGCCCAGTTCCCTGGCTGTTTATCCACACTGATTCCATGGGCAGGCTGATTGCAGCTGCTCTGAGTGCACTCTGCAGAGTTGCAGTGTTTGTTACTACCCAGTGCTACCAGGAAGGCAAGGGAGGGGTGTGTTTTCTTGAAGACCAGCTCAGTCTGTGTGTTTAATCTTTCTATGATACTCAATTCGTAGCATTTCAGTCAATGAGCTTATTATAAACAGAACCAGACAAACTGATGGTCTCAGGCAAAAACCCAGTACTGTCTCCTGCCTTTCATTTAGTTCAGATGTTCAGAATGTAAATGGAAAAATACGGAAATATATTTGTGAAAAAGTTTGGGATGAAACAGTACCTACAACACTTAAATACCCCTGATCCACATATAGAATCTGCTTTAAATAATGTGATATGATAAACCATCCCTCACTTTCAGTGCAGTTCTTTCCAACAATAGGATTATTGATCAGCCTTAAGAATGCAGAAGCTTTAATTTTTGTGTCTAGTGTTTATCACTAAAAATATTTAGTGTTTGTTTACTTGGTGCATAATTTTCTTTAGCTACTGTTTCCCCTGCAGAAAATTCCATGTGGTGATAAGTAAATTGACAAAAGAAGGCAGACAACACAATGAGAGTAACAAAGTCCGTAGACGTTCTCTGGGCTGTGAAAGAATATATTTTCCTTTTGACTCTATTATGTTAAACATAGGTAATTCTACAAATGCAGGAGGACATTGCTTAGAAAATTGTCAGCCATAATGTGTCTCATTTTCTTCTGTTTTGAAGCTAAAAAAGAGATTTATTTTCATTTTAGTCTCTAGTTTGTTTCCTATCTTTGTAGGTATTTTCCTGTTGATACAGTTCAGTGTTCTAATGCAGCTCAGTTTGTATTTCTATTAAATTTGGTCATTCAGCCCCAGTTTTCTCTGGCCTTATTCTATCTGTTTCATTCTATATGTTTCACATACATAGCATCTGCTAGTCAGAGATGCCCTCAAATGTTGCATTTGCCAGGCATCAACCACCTTTACCTTCAGTTCCCAGGTCCTTACACAGGGGGTAGTACTATTACATAAAGAAGCAATTTAAGTTGGGTTTAATGTTCTCATCATGGCTTGCATTTATCTTTTTTGCAAATCTAAATAAAGTAAGTATAAATGGGCAACAGTTAATTTTTCCTGTGAACACTGAAAGAAGAATCAGGCAAGAAACAGCCCATTAAACATGCGAATATGTATTTCTCCTTACATTCATTTCAAAGACAGAATGAATGTGGCAGAATGAATTACTTTCTCAATTTAATGATCCCATGTTCAAAGTAGGGCCTTTGATAAGGAAAAGGAATATCAAAATAGTATTTATGAGAGGGGGGTACATTATGTCTTCTTGTTAGGTGCTATATTAAGAAAGCTTGCCCATCAGTCTTTGAACTGTAGATGAGATGAATTTTCCTTTGGTGTCAGAATTAGCTAAAGCATCAGAAGTTGTATCTGCTTCAAAAGAATTCAGTCAGAAAAGCTGAGTCTGGAATTGTGCTTCCTCATTCACCTGCAAGCTCATTTTAGTTATTTTTCAGAGTGAACTACGTGCAGAGGAGATCAGTTGTCACTAAATCTCCCAAGATCCTTCCTTTGAGAGCACTCTTGTTCTGAGGCTGGGAAGTTGGAAAGAAAGAAAAAGGGAACACAGGAAAACCTGGTTCATAAGTTCTTATTTCCAACATGTAAAATCCTCCAAGCACTAAAGCAGACCAAACCAACTCATTATGAAGCAGATTCTTGTTTTGAAACAGATTTGCACATCTTTCTGTAAACGTAAAAAATGAATTCTAGATTAACATAATTGCTTCATTTATCTCCATTTACCAGCAAAGCCAGGGGTACTGAACTGAAGCAACTGCTTTGAAAAAAGGAAAATGTCTTGTACTCTGTTTTGTGTTGAGAACCTAACTGTTGCCATCCTGCTTAAGAGAAAATTCCAACTCCCTCCTTCCCTGTGCAGCCTTCTGCCAGTCAGAGCCTGTTGCTGGATTGAGCAGCACTGTTGTTACTCACTTGTTGCAAACCTGGGTGTTGTGTCGTGGGCTGAGCTAGTGCAGGTTTGGGAAGCATGAACTCTGTCACCTGTAGCCTGTCTCTATGCTGCTGACATTATCTTATTAATAGAATCAAGGGATTTTAAATGGGGAAGAAGGGAGAGAATACTGCTGTAATCCGTCCGTGTGTTGTTGGAGTTTTATTTAAGGCAGAAACCCCAAACATTTAGACAGGAAATACCTCTCAGATGCAGGTGTTCTCTGAGGTTCTGGACTTGGTGAGGTATTGAGAACATACAGTTCTTCATACACAACTACTGAAGCCATCCAAGGCCCTCATCTTATAGAGAATTTAGTTTAGACCATTTAACAAAGAAATGCCTTTAAAGTGACTTTTATCTGATCTGGTGTGTGTTATAGGAGTAATATTTCTTTTAAACTGTCCTGTATATGCAGCAATTACAGGGCAGAGATAGAAAATGGTTCATTATAACAGTGTATCTTTTGATTATTAGCTGAAGTTTGTAATGGCTGACACATCTTTTCATCTGGCCTATTTGCTGTTCATGTAACTTGTACTGAAGCCAAACACAGCCTGGAAACATTCAAACTGCCCAGTGATTCAGATATGGGACTCAAAGAATTCACATTCTGTGTCTCCTTTAGTCAATGCAAAATACCTTTTTTTTCCTGAAGAATGAAAGACTGTCCCAGGGCTGTGCCATTTTCTGTGTCTGAGCTGAAGCTCAGTGCTGAACACCTTTAAGGAAATAACAGACAGGTTCCTCACCTACAGCAGGAATTTGGACTTGCTGTTGAGCTGCAGCTGTGCTTTATGTTGGTTTTTATCTGAGAATTGTTAAGCAGGAAAAGAAGAGGTGTCAGAAATGAAATGGTGGCAAATAGAGATGCAAACTCAGACGTCATTCTATCTCATGCTTCTAACAGACCTCCAGGCTGGAGAGCTTTACACTTGCCATGTTGTCTCAGCGCCTCTCACTGTCTGTGGGCATTGCTCTCGTGCTCTGCATGAATCCAAAACTCAGCCTGAACTTGGAACAGCCATTTTGAGTCTGTTGGACTCACTGAGAATCCGGAGGCTCTGGGTGGGGGAGAAGAGCAAGGAGAAGAGCTCCATAGGGAGCTGTTTAGAAGGAAATCCAAGGACAGGAAAACAGATCTTTCTCAGAGTTTCCAGGCAGCAGAGGAGCAGCCAGCACACAGCCAGGTGGAACAGCAGGGGAGGTGACTTTCCCAGTCTAGCTTTTTGGAAAAGGTTTTCTTGCTTTGCTGGCTGCAGTACAAATTAGATTTTCCATAGGGGAAAGAGTCTCTCTGGAGTGATGAGTAGGTGTCCACTGTGTTTGGACTGCAGGTATCAGTGGTCCTGAGATTTTTATTTTTGTCTGTTTGGGTTTTTTTCCTGTTAATGTGCTCTTATAATCAAGATAAATTATTTAGTCAGAGTGCTCTGGTTGAGCAGGATTGTGCAATGCAGATCTGTGTGTAAGTGGATTTCATCATTTAAAGTTAGCTTTAAATGAACAGAGGAATTAATTTCAGTTTCCTAAATTTTCTTTGCTTCCACGTTATATTGACAAAATTATTTTGTCCACAATTTTCATGGCCATGTAGCTAGCATAAATAAAGATCCATGGAAAAAAGTGGAATGATAAGCAGATCAAAGGATGTGGTAGGTTGCCATGGACACTTGTTAATGATGATTTTTTCATTCTCATTAATCTTTAGCAAAATTCATACTGAATCCTCAGCAGTGCTACTGAAATAACACAAAACAGCCCACATGAATTACTGGCACTGATGATACAGAACTGGACACTGGAAAGGTTTCCCAGAGGGGTTGTGAAGGGACTCAAAGGTGTCTGGACACGGCCTGGGGCAGCTCTGGGAGGCCCTGCTGGAGCAGGGCTTGGACAAGGGACCTCCAGAGCTCCCTCACCACCTCAGCCACTCTGACCCTGGGACAGGGAGTGATGGAACGTGATGTGTAACACAAGAGAAGGGGTTTGAAAACTCTGAATTTGGTCATAGCTAGTGAATGAAGCAACTTGATGTGATACTGGAGAGTAAAGGTGCCCAGTGGAATTTTGGAGTTTGTGCAGTTGGGCATGTCACCAGCTGAGCAAAGGGACAGAGATCCTTCTGAGACAGCTGCATCTGGAATGTGCCTTCCAGTTCTAGAAACCTCATCAACTAGGAGATGAGGAATAATTAGAGGATTTGAAAAAAAAAAATTAGGACTGATAGTCAGGAAATACTAATTGAGAAAATAGCTGGAAATCTTTCTGGCACATTGTCTTGCCAATAACAGGATTCTCCTGACTGCCCTTTGGCTAAAAAATTGCTCTGAGGGTGACATAGGACTGCAAATGCTGAAAAACTGTCACAACCAACCATGGAGAAGAGTTCAGTGAGGAGTATGGGAAGAAATTATAAAATGGGGAATTTAGTTTGAACATCAGGGAAAAATTCCTGATGAGTTTGGGTAATGGGAGGAGGGATATGGGGAAGGACATTCACTCGATCAGTGAATGTCTCCTGCATCAGCCTCCCTGAAAGCAGGTGAAATTCAGCTCATTGGAAAATCTAATAGGACAGTGAATCTCCAGTTCCTTACACAGGTAACCCCTCCCCATCTTAAAAAAAAAGTTTTGTAACAATCAAAAAAAAAAAGCTGACAACTTTGTCAGTTAAATTCCCCCTGCTCAAATTGATATCAGTGTTTCTTACATTGCCAAGGTAAACTCACCTGAACTAGAAAGGCAGTGTAGGATCTGTGTGCCAAGGGTGACACGTGAAATTATGATTTCTGTGACAAAAGTAGATTTACTCCAAAAGCTTGGCTAAGAATCACCTTTTCTATTCCTGCTAGGCTACCAAACAATATCAGAAAGGAATTAATTTTGCTGACTACTGTACTGGCATGGAGTCTGCAAGTGAAAACGTTTCCTCTGTTGCTATTATTTTATTTCAAAAATGCATTCTCCTTCCCTGTTTCCTATGGTACCTATTTCAATAATTGGAATATGTGTTTCAGAAGAGTGGGATATAAGTGACAATGAAGGATGAACAGCTGCTGGGATGTGCTGATTCACTGAAGTTCCAGTGGTTGGTTCAAGCTGGCTCAAAACAGTCTCAATGCTGTGTCTTCCAGAGTGGATAATGCAGAAGACCCAGTGTATGAGAGCCTGGAAGAGTTCCATGTTTTTGTCTTAGCCCACATTTTGAGAAGACCTATTGTTGTAGTAGCAGACACGATGTTACGAGACTCAGGGGGAGAAGGTAAGAGCTTGGTTGGACATCTCCACTCCTCTGGAAATGGAATCAATCCTAACCTGCCACACACAACAGACCCAACTGTCACATACCTGGGTGTTTAGGGGAGAGCTGCTGCCTTCTTTTGAAAGAAAAAACAAACCAGAAAGCACAGAATGATGCTCAATCCATTTCTGTTAGATAAAAGTAAAAACTACGGGATAATCATGTAAGTCCTGATGAAAATCTGTTTATCTAGATATTGGCTATTAAACTTAATAGCCATCACATTACAGAACACAATGCAATTGTGATTGGTTTAGGTTAACAAGGTTCTAATTTTGCTGTGTTATTTTGGTGTCCCTTAAAACCCTGCAGAAATCAATCTAATCTTTGAAAAATTGAATTTTGAATGTGTGTGTCTTGGATTTTTGTTTTTAATAACTCCCTTGCAGCTTATCATTCAAACATTTCCAGAATGTTTTATTCAGTTTGCACACGTGAGCACACAAATGTTGGAGCCAGCTGGACACTGTCTGAGCAGGACTTGAAGGATTAAATTCACTTCACTCACTTTCTACAACGAACTAACAGAATACTAGTTCATGATAGTGTGTTGCTTAACTAAAGGGGGATGTCTGGTTGGTTAAAGGAAGATGTTAAACAGGTGATGGAGTTCACAGGAATTTACTTCCACAGGAAAATGCTGGGTGGTAATTTCAGTTTCCATTCAAATTATGAACTACAAGTAATGGCTGTAGATGACTCGGTAAGTTGTGGAAAAACACCTGAAAGACAATGCAGCCACTGATCACAGCCAGCATGGGCTCACAAGGGGAACTCATTTTGAAAATATTTCAGCAATAAAGATTCGTATTTTTGTAGCAAAAGGAAAAAATAATTGGTCAGAAGCAAACACGTTGAGAGAATTTTCCTGCCCAAACTTGCTGTTCCCATAATTATATATAGAAACAAGTGTAGAATCTTCCAAAGCAAGATCTTCCCCTACAGATGGAGCATCCCATTCCTCTCTTTGTAGAATTTTTTGAGTCCTTCCTTAACATTACCATGCATACATACCTATGCACATTCACAGATATGTAATGTGTGGCCTATAAACATGTTTGTAAGGCACGAGCAGAGCCTGTTGCCAAAAGAATGTAGTGTATTTACTGATGATTATTAGAAAATACCCTTCTCCTTACAAGTATTACAGGAAGGTACAGATCTGCATACCTGTGTGAGTCATTGAGATTTTGTTATAAGACCTTAATAACTTTACTAGTAAACAATTAAAGCAAGGAAAAATACGTAAGAGCAGAAGGTTTTCATTATTGCTTGCTGTGTACTTACTGACATTTTTATAATTAAATTTTACCTGTTATGACTGTTTCCTGCACTGATTACTGTGCTTTAGTCTGCTCTCCAGGAGCTCTGAAAATATTGCAGCACAATTGTACAATTATTGTCTGTTCTTAAAAGATCTCCTTTTCCTTTGCAGCGTTTGCACCGATACCATTTGGAGGAATTTATTTGCCACTTGAAGTTCTCCCAAACAGATGCCATTGCTCACCTCTTGTGCTGGCCTATGATCAGGCCCATTTCTCTGCTCTTGTTTCCATGGAACAAAAAGACCAACAGAGAGAACAAGGTATGCTATAAACACAGTAACACTAGGATATATATTGAATACAATGCACAAAGTACCTTCTTCTACCTGTAGGTGTATTTAGCTATCAGAAAAGAGACAATATTCACTAAATTTTTTTGCTGCATGCTTAGGAGTAGTCTAATCACAAGCCTGGGAGCCAAGAACTCAACAGTTCTAATCCATGTGCTGTCACTGCCAGTCTTTGGCACTCACACTGTTTCTGTCAGTCAGTTCCATATATGTACATAAATGTACAGGTATAACCATAGTTACCTACAGTACTCTGGGTTCTTGAAGGCCTTTGTTAGTTTGGGTTAGTAAAGCGTTTAGAAGCTTACTATTAAAAACTCATGTAATGGAAAAAATACCTTTCTTGTAGTATGCTAAATGCACTTTTCTCATTTAAAAACATTTAGGTGAAATGTTTTTACCTTGCTGCCTTCTGTTCTGCTTTGGAACAGTGACAACAAAGTGACCAGATACTTCTGTGTCAAATTGGAGCTTCCTGGATATGGGATTGGGAGTGACAAGAGCTTCAGAACTGGATCTGTTCTTGCTTTAGTAGCCCAGGAGCTGGCTATAAGTGCCCTTATTTGCTAGAGCTGTTTGCTTAATCATAGAAAGCTGTGAGATGAACTTCTATCTGTCTTTGTTCCTTTTGTGGAGAAGGGAAAAGTGTTTTGCCAAAAACATGGTGAGGCTTTAGAAAAATTCAAGGGAGTTTTGCTTTTAGTTATGAGTCTTATTTTTTCCTGGTGATACTTCCAAGGTGTTTTAAATCCCTTATGAATGCATATAGCTGTAAGTAAATGGGAATGTGTGCTGGTTGTTGAGATGTCCTGAGTGAATTCCATTCCATCCTCCTTCATAGGGAGGTCTAGAGGCACCTAAATATCCATCCTTTGATTCCCTAACCCTGTGTGCATTCCATCTGATTTTGGATGTATTAGGCATTACCATGCCCATGCCCATTGCCATGTCAGCAGTGCTGCAGCTCTGCAAAGCAGAGAGGAAGGTGTTCACTAAAATGATGAGAAGGAGCAAGAAAGGAGCTGTTGAACAGCAGATTTTGCTGTGGTGTCTTCACACAAGAATCTGACACCTGGTTTGTCATCCCTTTGGGAGGAGCAGAGAGCTTTTACATGAGCTGTGTGAGATGGGAAGCTACACCAAGGATTGCAGGTGGTATTGGCAACCTTGTGCTGGTCAAGAGGAGACTGAATCATAAGACTGAAATGGAGAAGAAGGTTGATCTAGGTGTCAGATACTCAAGATGTCAGATATTCAATGGGAAAAATCAGTCCAGTCCAACTCCTTGGCCTCCACTGGCACAGAACTGTTTTAGGGATTTGTAGGCAGGTGCTTGGGAATATCTCTGGCCTTGGCATTATGTGCTGGGACATTGGAGCTGCCTTCCAGCCCTCAGGCAGTAGAAGAACAGCCCTTAGGAAAATGCTTTTCACATAGGAAAACCCTGAGGTATGATGTGAAACACCTTCTGAGAAATGTAAGTCTGAAAAGCAAATCTATCCCATTTCAATGCAAAAATGTGATATGAATGAAGCTGGAGTTTTGGAGAACCTTTAAGGACACAATCTCACTGTTGATGGTTGCTGATGATACACTGTAAAGTTGTCTGGTGGAGTTGCCAGCGTCCATTTCTTCCTTTCTAACAACTGGGACCAGAATGATATCAGCAGACTGACAGAAACCTCATTTATCTCAGGCACATCTGTCTGCCTTCATACCAGGCTTCATGATCACAGGTCTTACAAGAGCCTCTGTGTGTAACTAACTGGATACACAGAACTGAACTCTCTCTGCAATAACTTTGCAGTCAGGGGAACTGCCATCCACCAAACCTTTTGCTGTTGTTGTGTCCTCCAAGGGATGGGATTGACAAAAGGTAGTGAGGGACACTACGGTTCAGCTGCTCTGATCCTGCCTGTCCCATGTATTCCTGTTAGTCACACACTGCAAGATCTTGGGTTTGATAACAAGATTATATATTTGATTTCTCCCACAAGTGCTAGGGAAAACTGTCTTTCTGTAGGATTTTCCTACACCTGTATTGCCACAGGAAAGGTGCTGGGAGAGAAAACCCTACCAAATATCCAGCACAGCATCAGAAACATTAAATACTGGTTTTCATGTTCATCCAGGTTAATTACAAGGGTCAGTGAATCAAAGTAGTATTTGTTTTGTATGACCCAGCTGTACATGTCTTACTGCAGGGCTTTGAATACCCAGGCTCCAGTTCTGTGGAGCAGCAGAGAGCATTTGGCATTTGTTCTGGGATGAAGGGAATGCTTTGGCTTTCAGCTGCCAGGCTGGTTGCTGTTGGAGACCAGAGCAACCACAGCATTCCTGTTGTTCTCCCTGCTGTGGCAGGAAGTAGGTTGGCACAAGGATGCTCCAGCAGTGCTGGGTTTGTACCTCATCAGCAGAGCCATGCTCTGGCACACGAGGGCAGAGCCATGGCTGTGAAATGTGCCAGTAACAGTGGCACAGGTTCAAAACCAAACAGATTTGGAACTATCAGAATGCAAGTGAGAGCTCAGAGCTCCACCTTCTTAAAAGGAGCCTAGCCCGGCCATTTGTAACCTGGAGTATTCCTGCTCTGTGTAACCAGGTGTCAGGAGCAGCCTCTGGAGCTGTCTGAGCTACTGCATGTACAGTCACATGTGTTTCAGCTGGTGCTCAGCTTTCTTGGGGAGGAGGCAATATGTCTGTATTTGAGAAATATGTAGGGTCAAATAAATACTGATGTGAATGCCTGAAGTCCTTCTTTGGCACAGAGTCCTGTATCAGATAATTAAAATGCTCCTATAAATTTATATAAAGAGAAAACACACTAAGATCATCTTGTCTGGAGAGGATTTAAACCACATTTTGACATGTCTTTCTACTAGCACACAGCTGATGTTCTGCTGGCTGCCAGAGGGCCTGTCATTTTGAAATCCAGTGTCTGATTAAAAACCTATAAATATTTTTATATCCAAGCAGGCTCTATTGATGCAGATGTTTTGTATCTTTGTTCATGGAAACACAGCCTGGCGTTCAGCTGCCCCTAAGGCTGCTTCCTTGAACCTGGAGCTTCCCCCATGCTGTGCTCCCTCCGAGTGCAGTCCGGGTGTGACAGGGGTGACACTGGTTTGGGACAGCAGTGTGTCAGTCTCGGGCTCACTGTTTTATTTTACCAGCATTATAAGATGAATAATGACACTGGAGGTGTGAAGATGAGTACTGGGAAACACTGTGACTTCCTTCACACACACACCCAGCTGAGGAATGGCAGGAAAGTCCTCACTGTGTCTTAAACTGCTGTGGATGAACTGCTGGTCAAACATCCCGTGTGTTGGGGCTGGTAGGCTGTGTTCTGAGTTGTGTGGCTCCAGCTAGGGAGTATCCAAAGCCAAGTGCAACTGCACCAAAGCTGCAAACTCTGATGTAGCTGTGCCTCTGCGAGGTGCTGCAATCTGGCGGGTTTGCTTTTGGAATTAATGTGAGGGATCCTGCTTGCAGTCATGATATAAAAATACTTTTCTGCTAGGAACGTTGGGAATCCTACAGGAAACTGTGGTTATCAAACACAGTTCCCTGAGAGAGGAAATCTCTTGCAGTGAAGACACAATTGTAAAGCTCCCTTACTTTAGCAGATATATTTTGCCCAAAGAGAGCAGTGCTTCCTACCAGCCTCAGACTGTACCTTAGAATGTCACCATTCAACTCAGAGTAACAGTTATTTGTGTGAAGATAGAGACACAGAATGTGCACAGTAGTTCAGACAACAGTGACGTGCTATAGACAATCAGCTCTAAGCTTAGTTTTGTACTTAATTTTGTATTTTAATAAAATTGAGTATCACTAAGCATTTTAATAGTTGTATTTTCAGTATCAGTAATAACAGTGAACTTTAAAAAGAACTCCTTCACAATTTGTTTATAAAGAATTATTATTACTGAATGATGGGAAAATAAGTTAGTTTCAAGCTGCCCTTAGAAAAGAAACTCATGTTTACTCTTTGAAGTTTCCCTCCCAAAGAGACTGCTCCAACTCTCTGGCAGTTCTTTGGTCCAGGCTTTCCAACATCACCTGCCCTGGGATCACATTCCCAGTTCTCTGTACCTGTAAGGTCAGGTGCTACCAGAAGTGAACTGTTGTGTAGTAAACTTATAATGCTACTCTTTTCTAAGTTGCCTTTATCCTCTAAATGATTGAGATACTGCACTGCAAGGTCGGCTGCCAGCCCAGTCAGTGCCTGCTGCTAATTCAGTTAATTGGCAGAATACGTGTTTTCCTTGGGAACCACGTTGACTGTTTTCTGTTCTTCCAGCCTCTTTGTTGCAATAATTTCACGGAATGCAGGAGGGGAAGCCCTCGTGTTACACCAGTGAGTGTGAAAAGGTGTATTCAGTGGTCACATCTGCTGTCCATTTGTTCTGTTCCTGTGCTCCAAGAACTTGCTGGACAGTGTGTGTTGAACTGGACACTTGGACTGTGCTTATTCACGCCGAGTTTGTTAAAGGCGCTAAATTCCCTTGCGGTCTGAATGCCCGTGCCTGCTCCGGCGGGATGCGCGGCCGGAGCGGGGCTGTCCCTGTGTCCCGGTGTGCCGGTGTGCCGGTGTCCCGGTGTCCCGGTGCCTGTGTCCCGGTGTCCCGGGCCGGATTTGCCGCTGCTCTCGGGAGCATCTATGTCCCGGTGCCCCGGTGTCCCGGTGTCCCTGTGTCCCGGTGTCCCGGGCCGGATTTGCCGCTGCTCTCGGGAGCATTTCCCGCATTCCCCGCCGTCACCGCCAGGGAGCGGCGTTTCCGCGCGATTTGGGGCGGTTTCGGGTGTTCTGCGCGTTCTGGATGAACAAGCCCGGCCTCGGTACAAACCGGGAGCGGTGAAAAACACAACCTTCGGTGTGACCCCGGGATGGGGCTGCACAGCACAGCCCTCGGTGTGACCCCGGGATGGGGCTGCACAGCACAGCCCTCGGTGTGACCCCGGGATGGGGCTGAACAGCACAACCCTCGGTGTGACCCCGGGATGGGGCTGCACAGCACAACCCTCGGTGTGACCCCGGGATGGGGCTGAACGGCACAACCCTCGGTGTGACCCTGGGATGGGGCTGCACAGCACAACCCTCGGTGTGACCCCGGGATGGGGCTGAACAGCACAACCCTCGGTGTGACCCCGGGATGGGGCTGAACAGCACAACCCTCGGTGTGACCCCGGGATGGGGCTGACGAGCCCCGCTGCCCTCCCAGCACGCAGGACACTGCCTGTTCTGCTGCGCGAGGAACAATCTCGTACCAAACACGCGTTACCTTTGTTTTGACAAGGGGTGTTTTCTGAACTGCAGGAGAGACTACGGACAGCACATAACTATTGCAGTCGGGTTTCAATAACTGAGTGCCCTGATGTCTGGGTGATTTCTCCAGGTTTCTTTGTCCCCTGGCTTGGCTGGAATGAATACCTGGGTGAACTCTTTAGAGGTTTAGTGTAGAAAATTAAATTCCTTGATTGGTTGGCAGAGGAGCAGCAGTGACCTGCACCATGCTGAGCATCCTACCAGGTCTTCAACAGTTTTTACCTTTTTTCCTAATGAAATGCAAGCAAATTGGTGGGTTTAATTGAAGCTGACTGGTTTTCTCTTACTTTCTTGCTGGTGATGAATGATAGACATTCTGTAACACCAGAGTGTGGTCCCTGCATGCAGAGTATAAAGCAGAGTCATTAAGAGAGGTGTCAGAAGGCAAGACAGAGAGGGGAAAGAACAGAAGAGCCAAAACTGCAATGCTGGGATATAACAGAAGTTATGGTCTTTTCACTACACTCAAGACAGACCTCATACTGACCTCTTGACTCACATATATGTTGGTCTGTGCTCTTCAATTACCTTAATTCACAGTTTGAGTCCAAAATCGCTGTAACTGCCTTTTGCTCTGTTTCTTACTGCTGATACCAATGTATTTTTAATTCTTTGACAGTGCAAAACAAAAAGGTGCTAAACCGAAAAGGCAAAATAATTAACAAGTATGTGAATCTGTGATTCTGAGAGCCAGGCAGGAATACTGCCACTTTTTACTGCTTTCTGGTATTGTAATGACTCTGTCTCCAGGAAATGTTTATTGTGCATTACAGAATGGCCATGTTGTTCTTTCAGAGGTCTCCCCTCCTCCACAGGTGACTCTTGTTCATTCCAGGAGCAATCAGGGTATTAAATCAGGGTATTCTGTTGCACACGCAGAAGGACAGGGAGGTGGAGCCCGGTATAAATCACTTGTGGTGCTCTGATGAGACAGTTCTGCTGCACACTCAAACCCTGCCCTTCCTGCAGCAGCCATTCTGCTTTTCACAGCTGAGTCTTCTCTTTTTGTTATTTTTGTTCCCCCCACCCCAATCCTTGTTTCTTCTCTGCTTCAGCCGTGATCCCCCTGACTGACTCTGAACACAAGTTACTGCCTTTGCACTTTGCGGTCGATCCTGGGAAAGACTGGGAGTGGGGAAAAGATGACAATGATAACACCAGACTGGCCAAGTAAGACCTTTCTGTAACTTCAGTGTTAAGCAGTAAAATGTCTTGAGCTGTACCTGGTTGGAGTACTGGGAGAGCTGCCAGGGCTTTGTTCTTGTTCTCTGGTTACGTGGCAGAAGACATGGGTGGGTCTCCAGCTGATGGTCACAATTCAGGCTGCTGTTACACCTCTCCCTGTTATGAAGTATTGCTTTTTCTTTCAGGCTTTTTGACTGTTCCTTTCTTTTTTTCATCTTTAGTTTGATTCTGTCTCTTGAGGCAAAGCTTAACCTTCTGCACAGCTACATGAATGTAACATGGATACGCATCCCTTCCGAGACACGGGTAAGGTCACCTCCCCCTCGCTCCAAACAGCCAGAGACACAGGGCATGGAGGGTGTTGGGGAGAGAGGGCTGCCTGGAAACCTCAGTGTCCCAGCAGCAGGGACAAGTCACTCATGGCTCACTGACACTGCAATCAGGCTTATGGATTTATCTGGTTATTTACTCTAATAACACAGTTGCTTGTATATTTTTTGCTGAACTGTATTTTCTAGCTTATCTTTCTGTTACATTTTCAGTAGCCTGTGTAGTTTAAAGAAACCTTTTATCACCATTGTTTTTTCAGAAGTTTGGCTTGCTCTCCTAATGCCACTGTTAAGTCACCAATCCCAAGTCCTTTGTGAGGATGCATTGCCCCCCCTGGACAGCTCCCAGTTTAGAGTGGCTGACAAAAGGCCACAGACAGGCTCTGAACTGGAGCCTGACTCTTCCAGAGAGCTATTTTAGAATCATGCCCAGCTGGCACCTACTCAGCTGCAAATTTCTCTGCAAACTGCATTGAATAGATCGAGGGGTTAGTCTGGAGGCTAAAGGTTGCTAGGAGAGCATGGAGGTGATTTAGGCAGCCTGCACAGATGGGGCTTGAACAGAGGAACAGAACACAAAAGGAGAAAGCATTTAGCAACCTACAAGAGGGGGAAAATCCATTTTTCTACAGTTTCAACACTAGCAGCTACCACATGATAAAAAGGAGAGGCAAAATGGTCCTGTATTTGTAAGTGGTGAATGTGGAACCTGGGTTACCTGTCCCTGCTGACACTGTGATGGTCAGGTCACAGCAGCACTGTCACCTCTGCTCCCAGCTGGGTGGTGGGTGCTCAGGGATCCCTGAGAGACAGGGGACATGGAAGTACCCAGGGACAAGAAGCAGGCAGGTATTTCTATACCACAAGTATATACATCTACAGGTTACCCCTCCCTGAGTCCTTGTGGTTAGTTAAGTGTTCCCTATTTATCTCTAGCAGATTTTGGCTTTGTGGTGCCTGAAAGCAAGACTAAGTTTTGCAGGAGTTAATGAACAGAGTCCTGTTTTAAAGTACCCTAGGATCCATGTTATTGCATTGTCAAGAAAGATGTTTTATCATGTTACCTAAAATATAAAGTGGAACTTGGATTTGTGACACCAGTTTTATCTGCACTGCATTTCCAATAAGAATGAAAGCACATAATTGTGTTCCTCAGCCTTCTGGCTTAAGTTTAATGTGTGATATTCCAGGTGAGACATTCAGCTCTGCTGCATTGTACCTTTGATTTTCACGCACCAGAGACCCGAGCAATGAAAAAGTCAGTTTAAATAAGTCGGGTTTTGAACATAATGGATTTTGAAATATTGCTTCATGCAGGCTTGTGTGCTGGATCCCCCTCACAGCTTTCAGCAGCACCTCGTTCCCCTTCCATGGCAATGTCAGCAGTTCCTTTCCCTGCTGGCTCAGGGACAGCCCCTGGAGGTGCTCCCTGTGGAGTGGCCAGGCCTGTGCTGGTCTCTGCTCCACAGGGAGCTCCTCTCCATGGCTCACACACTGACTGCCACAGAGCCCCCAGTGACTGACCCCTGCCCTACAAATGTGCTCGAAAGGAGCCAAAAGCTACTTAGGAACAAGAAAGATACAGAGTAAGCACAGCAAAATATGCTTTATTTGGTGAAGAAACCAGTCAAAAATGTCACTGTGTAAATTAAAAAATATATTTATAATCAATGTCAAAATATGTATTGAATTTGGGGGGTGTTTTTGCACCAGTTCCTGCATAAAACCAATTTTTCTGTATCTAATTATAATTACTTTTCCATAGCAGGCCCCTTTGGCTCAACCAGAATCCCCTACAGCTTCAGCTGGGGAAGACGTGCAGTCTCTGGCTGACTCAATGGACTCGGACCGAGATTCCATCTGTAGTAATTCCAATGGCAATAATGGCAAAAACAGTAAAGAAAAAGAAAAGGACAAACAAAGGAAAGATAAAGACAAAACCAGGACGGATTCAGTTGCCAATAAAATAGGAAGCCTCAGTAAAACCTTGGGAATTAAACTGAAAAAGAACATGGGTGGTCTTGGAGGGCTGGTGCACGGCAAAATGAGCAGAGCCAATTCAGGGAATGGAAAAAATGGGGACACAGTAGAGAAGGTCAAAGAGAAGAAGTCAAAGTCTCGAAAAGGGAGCAAAGAGGAGTCGGGCCAGTCTGCGAGCACGTCTCCGTCGGAGAAGACCACCCCGTCCCCCACGGACAGAGCCAGCAGCTCCCCCACGGACAAGGGCAGCGCCAAACCCTTTCCTGACAAGCAGGCTGACCCCTGGAAGTACAGCACTGATGTGAAGCTCAGCCTGAACATTCTGAGAGCTGCCATGCAGGGCGAACGGAAGTTTATTTTTGCTGGCCTTCTTTTGACCAGTCACAGGCATCAGTTCCACGAGGAGATGATTGGTTATTACCTGACCAGTGCCCAGGAGAGATTCAATGCAGAGCAGGAACAGAAGAGGAAGGAAGCTGAGAAAAAGGCCGCACTGAATGGCTCATCTAGTAGGAAACTGGAGCCAGAAGCATATTCAAAAGAAAAATTGGAAACATCTCCTCAGGATAGGGCATCACCCGTCTTGCCTCAAAGCCATACAACCCAGCTAGTTTTAAAGTTCAAAGACCGCACTAGTCCCACCCCCGGGCCCTTCTCCTCCCCCAGCAGTGGTGCCAAGAGGAGCGGCCCCATCCCAGTGTCTGCCCACTACAGCCATACTCCCCCTGTCCAAAGGCAGAGTGTCATCCATTTGCATGACGTCAACTCCAAGCCATCGAGCTTCCAAGACGACACCTACAAGCCAGTGGTGGGCACCTTGAAGACCTGTGCCACCTACCCCCAGCAGAACAGGTCCCTGTCCTCCCAGAGCTACAGCCCGGCCCGGCTGCCCGGGATCCGCACGGTGAACACGGTGGAGTCGCTGAGCTGTGCCCTGCCCGCCGAGCACAAGTCCCAGACCTACACCAACGGCTTCGACACCGCGGACATCAGGGACTGCCTGGAGTACGCGGACGAGGACGCTCCCCAGACCTGGCTGAACAACGACAGAAACCAAGGCAGAAGCACAGTTTGCCCAATCTACTCCATCCAGCAGAACCGCTGTAAGAAGGAGAACTGTTCCTTTTATGGTCGTCCTGAGACTGACAATTACTGTTCCTACTGCTACAAGGAGGAGCTGAAGCGCAGGGAGAGGGACAGCAAGGGACACAGGCATTGAGGATTCTTCCTGACTACTTAGTTTTACCATTTTCTTACTTACAAAGTAAACAGTGTTGGATTGCAGTAAAAGGAATCCTTAAAACAAGAATAAAGGATTGATGAGTAAATAGTGTCTAGCTTTTCGCTTTTCCGGGGCAATGAGGAAATAATAGGATTAATTTATCATAAAAAATATTATTTTCCATTTTGTCAGTGTCTTTTTTACATATACTGGTAAGCTGAAGGGTTGTTTACTCCTTTGTCAGTGCTGTGTATATGTTTGGTCAAAAATTTACTAATGGTGCCTGAATTTACACTGACATCACTCAGGTAGTAGAATGATAGGGGCAAGTCATAATAACAGAGGTGTGGTGTTGTGGTAGGGTAGTGTCTGCCTTGCAGACCTTTGAAATGATAGAGCTAGTATGAGAGTCTTTTTTCCTCAGTAAAACCTAAATTTTTCATAGCCTTTTTTTTCAGGAGGGTAGTGATTTTGCATACTGCACATTTTTAACACGGCAGCATATTGCATTGCTACTAATGTTTGTACTTACTTCACTCTGAAATGGAATGATTCTGGAAAAATGGGAGTGAAAGGTCTGAATTCATGAGGGCTGTAGCTCTTCCTAATTTTAAGTTCTTACCAACTATTTCTACATTTCCATTAAAAAGAAAAAAAAAAGAAGTAGATTTGAACCACTTTTATTTGCACTGAATTTTTAAACAGGTTTTATAAAAAAATTCATTATGACTTTCAAGACTTCATGTCCCAAAACCACCACATAGTATAGTTTTGGGCACCTGAATTTCAAAAGTATTTTCATTGCTGTTAAAATGCAGAGAAATATTAAAATAAAATTAAAATATAAAAATTTTATTACATTTGGAAAATTTGATGACCAGCTAGGAAATTTAGGATCATTTTAGATCTGAATGAACTGCTTGTCAAAACAAATGTAATGTATCAATTTATTGCCTTAGCTAGTGTATGAGCCTAATCATTAGTTATTTATTCATTTCTCAGCATTACTGAGTGATAATTCTTGCAAGCCTAACTACGTGAGCCTTTCTTGAAGACTGTTGGCTCCACCTATTTCCAAGTCTTCTCCCAGAGTGAGTCATCTCCACCCAGGAGGTTCCCAGATGGCTGTAAAATACCTCCAGCAGGAATGGCAGCTCCGAGCACAGATTTGCACAAGCCTGATATCCAAATATTTACAGAAGTATTTGCAATACTTTTGAAAATAAAACTTAGCTCACAGAAACATTTCTGTAAAGAGATGCTGGTGAAGTAGATGAATGACACGAGAAGGTTTCCTTGAAGGTTTTGCACCCTCCACCATCAGTGGCACAGTGTAGGAACAAGAGCTCAGTGACTCATTTACTTTCCCCTTACACACGGGGCTTTTATAAAGAGCTAATTTTCCACCAGCAGGTGAAGCACACTGCCTTCAGGACTTCCTCTGCCACCCAAAGGTGCACAACATGAGTTCTACCTTCCTCACTATGGAATAGCACTTTTCTGGCCCTCACAGGAAAGATCCTTTGCCAAAGAGTCTTTGTTTCTGATTCTTTTTCTGCTGTACCCCAATTTTTGCTCTTAACGTGGGTGGCACATTTCACTGGTTAATCAGGGTTAACCCTAATTAACCCTGAAACCAAGCCTAAAGTCATCTGCAAAACAGGATGCACAAGCTTCTGCTGCCATGTGCTGGCTTTGAGAAAAAGCACATGAGCTTTTTCTAATGTCCCACCGAAATGGATGGATCTGAGCATATGCTTAAAACTGACTGTATTTTTAGGTTTTCTGCTGAATGGTTGGTCTCAAAATAAGTCCCTTAACCAGTCCTAAAAAGTGAGGGTCTTTGCCATGTTAGGTATTCCATGAATCCAGGCCTGTACTTCACATTCCTTGCTGTATTCTGAGCATACACTGAGTCTCACTGAATTTGCTTCCTTCCTGAAAGGGAAATTCTGGTGTGTGTTAAAGCTCCATGTGACTCCTGTCCCCAAGGTAAGCACGTTCCAAACCCGTGTCTCCAGCTGCATACACTGGTGAGCAGTGCCCTGTTTGGTTTGCTGTTGTGATTACATCTAATTTCTAATTGTCAAAGACAACTGGGTTTGCAGATTATGCTAAAACAGGCCAGATTATGTAAAAAGAAATCAAATATTACACTTGATTGTATTTACTGCAGAGACTGAGAAAACTGGAAGGATGAAACTTCACAAAAGCCAGAAATATTTAAGAATTCTTAGGGCATTAGAATAGCAGTAGCATTTGATACTCTGAGAATCACTTCTGTGTAAAGCTGTGCTTTAGAAATACATTAGCAACAATCCACACCAGCCTGTGTATTTGAGTGAGTTGTATCTTTCTCAGTGAGGAAAAAAGTAACAGCACATATATAAAAATAAGCAATCACCATGAGAATTCACTGTTTCCCATTTTTTAAAAGATTTGTTTCTATAGTATGTTTTTAAGATCTCCTACTCGTAAAAGAAAGATTTACAACTGGTCAGCATGTAGATAAAATTACTCTATTCTAAATTATTGAATACATTGTATGTTAGATTGTTTTGAAAAGTTAATTGGTCTTCTGAATAATATCAGGCTTGTCTCTATAGGATACCAAACTTGAGTGTTCATTGTCATCCTCAGGACACTCAGATATTTCCATAAAGATTTACCACTGCTGGACTGCTTGTTTTAAAATACGTGTTATATGAAATACTGACAGAACACCTTTCAGTTGTGCCTGTTTCCTCAGAATCCTTTTCTTGGAATATCTTTGAATATTTTTCTAATCGCTCTTTTCTTTCAGAACTCTCTTCAAATATCCCACAATTCTCTTGTCCCCTGACATTTGCTATTGAAAAGAACTTGTAGACCTACCATGCAATTTGCCAGTTAAAATCTACCCATAATTTCCTGGTAGTTCTCCTTTTTTCTGGATATGTAGTACTGGGGGGGGGTGTTCCTTCTTTTTCTTTCTGAGCTCTTTGTGGCAGTTGTCTGCATAATGCCACAGTTGGCATTAAACAGTCCAAACCTGCAGGAACAGTGCCTCCTCCTGAAGGAGTGGTTGTCCCATTAGAAGAAGTCTCCAACTATAAAAGGAAATTTTCTGCCCATTTTTTAAGAGAGAATTCCCAACTGCTCGTGAGTTGCATTCACCAGGCACTGAAAGAAATTGTATCATTCCTGAGCTATGTGTGAGAGGCAATAATCTTCATACATAGTTTTCTGTTGCACTATCTGCTAACCTTTGACTGCTCTTTTGGTTTATTTTTCCTGACAGCTGAAGGTATCTGCAGCCCACAGACCAGTCAGTCCTTCTCTGTGCCTGCTCTGCCCTCTCTGTGCCCTCCAGACCTTGTGGAGTTACCTCCTAGTCCCAGATGTACAGAAATCAGGGTTGGCTGGGGGGACCCGACTCATTCCTTGTGTAGCTCAGGTGGCTGCAATACTCACATATAGTTTTGCATTTGAATGTGCTTTTTTCCCCCTTTCTCCTTGATAGTGATTCAACATTTAGCACTGTTGTCTAGATCTCTGAAGTACAGACTAAATACTGGGTAGGCTACACCTTCCCAGAACAGATCCAAAATTACCAGGAGATATGTAGGTTGAAGGAAGCTGGAATTCTTTTCATGTGTGAATGTGCACCTTTTCTAATTTAAGAAACACTTAAACCTATTATGCAGTTTTTTTAGTTTATTCATAAACTCTGATACAAAGGTCTGTAGCAGAGGATACCTGTGATACATAATGGGTTTCAGTCACACTTTATATTAAAGTTCCATTTAAAATGCTTTATAAGGAGTTGATAAACCACAGACTTTACAAGTATATTTTCAGAGGTGGGTAGCAGTTGTAGCATATGGATAACAAGCACTTCATTCAGAAGAAGGTTTTGCACGTTATCAAAAGTAACTTCAGGTACTTTGGATGTTAAAAAATTTATTAACTTTTTGTTCTATACATGCAATGAGAATATTGTCCCAGTTTTCTTTAGCAATTAGTTGCTTCTTCCTAAGTCAAAGGTAACATTAAGGGTATCAGTGAAGGAAAGATGCTGTACTTGAAAAATTTTGTATTGCTTATTTCTTAAGAAGTCTAAATAGGCCAAGTGAAGTCTTCAGAGTCATCTTTTCTCCAGCTGAACACTGGTGTGAGCAGAGTTCCTGGGTCCAGAAGGACTGAGCAGACCCCGTGGACATCTGAGGCAGGGTCAGTCCTTGCACAGGGCACAGGCAGGGTCATCTACTTCTCGTGTGATGAATGTGTAGATATCAAAAATGCACAGCACAGATCTGACAAAATACTGCCCTCCAACTCCCCAATTCTGCAAACACACTGGTGCTCAACTTCACCCACCTGAACAGTCTCCTGACAGCAAGGAGTCTGCTGCTTTTCAGAAACTTCCAGAAAGTGTCAAGGAAAAGCGTGAATGTTTTTATCAAGGCCTGAACCTTCAGCCAGTGTCTGTTCCCCACAGGCTGCCTGATGTTACTCTTCCAGCAAGAGAATCAGTGAGAATTTTGCCTGAGGAGTAGAGGGAAACCTTAGGCCTCTTTGGACTAAATCTGCTGTCCCCTGAAATCTGAGGACAGAATCCCATTGGTAGTGGGGGCCTTAAATCAGGTGCTTCGTTGACATGTAAAATACTTGCAAGCTGGACATGAAAGTGGAGTACAAGCTCATAAGGGAGTAAAGTCTTCATAACACTGGGAGAGTTTTGCACAGGTGAAAACCCATATGTTAATAGAAACCACAATAATCTCAAATAAACATAGGTCCAGAGAAACAAAATAACCGATGCTGATTGTAGATTGCTTTTCAGCTTAGTATATTTGAAGTCTGTCAGTGTATTTGAAGAGTATTTGTTTTAGAGAATGGCAGCTTACGAGGATCACCAAACATGTATAGCATAGGAGTGAGATTATTTCAGTAACAGACACTAGTATCTATTTTAATTTGCACATGGATTTTCCAGTGTATATGACTAAAACACTGTATTGTTAAAAATGAGAGGAAAAGAACACAAAGGTGTTTGTAAGTATGTTCTATTTGTAGACTTAAGGCTGTATTATGTTGGAATTTTACAAGCCAAGTTTAAATTGT